GAGCCAGATCATCAGAAGGGACTTTTGTCACATCAAGATACACTATTTACTGTCTTCCTTACCATTTTTATGCTACATATTCCTTTTTTTAAAAAAAGAGAAAACTCAGGTAGAAAATATTAAACACTTGTGACCACTTAAACATTTCCTCCTGACCCTGAGGTGGTTTCGAAATATTTGTTCAAATTTTCTACAACAGCTAAGTGTAGCTTTTGTTATGTTTCACAAGCACCTTAAACAAAGAGAATCTGTCAATAATGTAACCAGAGCTAACTTACAATTCAAATAAAGTGTAGCTTTGGGAAGGTTGTTTAGACCAAGCCAAGCCAGTGTCACTCCCAGGATCCCACGTACAGCTCAAAGTTTTGGCGTCCTGGGTTTCACAAGAAAAGTCCTTGGGCTCCTCAAGTATTTCTGTCCATACAAAGAAAAAAACAGAAGAAGGAATCTAGTTAAATCCCTTCACTGAATGGTTAAGTCCAGTGGAAAGCTCTGTTTGGGGTCTGAAGCCACAGAGCTACTCTGAACTGTGAAGGGATCACTGAGGTGGTCTACACATCAGTAGCCCCCAAAAGTCACCTGCCGGACACCTCATCACCTCAGTCCGTTTTCCTCCCATCCCTTGTGATTCTCCTGTTGTGCCAGTGGTGGAATGGGGAAGCATCTCCGAGTCTCCAAAGTCACCACTGCTCTTAATGGCCACACTAAGGGGCAGAGATGAACCAAGCCTCCGGGAGATTAGAAACCTCCTTTGGCAGGAGAAATAGGGAGAGAGAGGTCACAGATACTGCCCTACTAGCCAGGGGAAGGGAAATTGCATGACAAAACAGAGGAGGAAACTGGCTCAGAATGGCTAAGAAACTTGGCCAAGATGACACTCCCAGCCAGGGGAAGAAGACTTGAACCCAGGTCTTCCAGGCCACATCCCTCACTGCCCTTCTGTGGTCATCCAGTCTGCAGCCCCACTTCTCCCTCCGTGATCCTGGGTAATCCCAGCACAGCTGAGGCAAAGCAGGCAATTTTCCCAGTGGTCCAGGTCATGACCTGATCTTTCTTTCCATTAATACTGTTGATTTCTAGGAATAAAATTGCCAGTAAGCACAAGAAAACAACAGGAAATCCTGGAAGTATTGCTTCAGGATATCATTTCCAGAATTTCTCCTAGAAGACTGAGAAATAAGAGAAAACCAAGACCACGCAAGGAAATGTTTACTTGTCTTCTGGTAAAGGAGATTCGATCTATTCTACAGAAAATGAGAAAAGAGGGCCAAAAAAAGAATTTGCTTACTTACTTGAGACAAAGAGCACGATGCCTTTTATATTATCTTGGTTCCCTTTACAAAAGATATTTGTTCCTCTTTCCCTAATGAAAGGGACATTTTTTAAGTGGAATGTGGATACGTATGGATTAAGTTGTCCTCCGTGTATCTGTTCACCTTCCAAATAACAGGATATGTTATTTTGATTGCTCCGAGAAATGGCACAGATGGTGACATTGGAGCCTTCTTCCACTAGCTTATCTTTAGGGAAAACAAGCAATGTATCCTGCCCAAGAGAATTTTGTACTGCAGACAAAAAAAAAAAAACAAAACCCAACTCAGTTAGAATCTCACTCAGAAATCAAGCCAGCCCCTTCCCACTTCACTCCCAGCAGATAATTTTAGCTTTTTCTACCTCCTGGAGAAAATTGTAACCTAAATTTGTACACCAAACTAAACACACTGGTGCATGCAAAACAATGCTTTCCACCGTTGTTCCTGCTGTTACACTAACATGACTGCTGCTGCCATTACTGCCAAAGATAGCCCCATTACTATTATCACTGCTGGTCACTGTATGACGGCTACTGTTAGGTTATTATAACAGTACTAGCTGCTCTCTATTGAGTCCCAGCCAAGTGGGAGGCTCCGAGTTAAGTGCTTATGTACATTATCTCATGTCATCCTTCTTATCTTAAACAACGGGACAGGTAGAACCAAGCCTAAGTTCACTCACCTAGTAAGTGGGTAAACCACATTCAGACTGGCCAGGCCAACCTGGCTCCAAAGCCACATGTGCCTCATAATCTCAATGTTGTACTTGTACATCACTGCTCTCCCCACCTTCTAGGAAATGCCCATCACTCAAGTATCATCTCCTTTTGCTTCAGTCTCTCCTGCTGCAGGGCCCAGTGCCAGGCCGAGATCCTCAGGGCTCTCCCCATCTAAGGAAGCCCCCTGTCTTCCCCAGGCCTCCCCCTGCTGCCCTCTCTGCCTCTCCTCCAGTTGGCCTCCCTGGAGGAGCTGCCTGGACTTGCTGTTCAGAATTGACCACCTACTCACTCCTTAGCCAATGCAGTCTGGCACACAGGTCACTACAATTGCCATCACCGACTGCATGCCTACGGTGTGGCCTGGGCATGAGGCTTTTTAAGGACCCCAGATGATTCTACTGTGCAACCACAGTTGAAAATCGATGTTTTATGGGTTAGGAATAACCAAGTTCCTATTTACTCTTGAGTTAGTTTTGAGGTTATAGTTTTGAGAAATTGAGTCCATTTTATCAAAGTTGTTTACAACCTTGGTCTTTCTTCTCTCTTACTGTCTTTATAATCTCTATTTTTTTCCGTCTGTGTGTCCCTCTTTCAGCAGTAGGATGTAATGGTTAAGAGCATGGCCTCGAGAGCCAGATTGTCCAGGTTGGAATCCCAGCTCCACCACTTAGTGGTTTGATGACCTTGCATGGGTTTTCTAACCTCTCGGTGCCTCAGTTTCCTCATCTTTGAAGTGGGGATAAGAATATTCATATTATTTCACAGGGCTAATGTGAGGACTAAATTAATATACATAGGACTTAAATCAGTGTCTAGAATGTAGATTTAATTCTATTATTACTATTAATCTAATCACTAGGCTATTCATGAGTTAATGGGTTATCAGCTTGAACTAACAAATTTGCATAAATATTTAACAAATAAATGATTCTATTGACAGAATTTCAGATAATCTGGCAGGTATACAGTGTGATGGACAAATGCCATTGCTTTAGAACTGGACTATAGTTTAACTGGAGCATAAGAAATCATGATCAAACTCACTCTAAACTTTAAATTTTAATTACAACAATATTAAGTTATCAAAATTAAGGGATATTTAAAACATGTTTATCCATAATTTCATCACTCAAATGAAGTGCTGCTTTTATTTTTTCCTATTTCTCCCCTTCTCTACAGATTAGGGATGGTCCGCCATCAGTGTTTGTAAATAAAGTCTTATGAACACAGCCACTCTCATTTATATGGCTGCTTTCACCCTACAAGGGCAGGGTTCAAGAGTCACAAAGACACTGCATGGTCTGAAAAGGCTAAAATATTTCCTATCTGGCCCTTTACAGAAAAAATTTCCCAACCTCCACTCTAGATCCATACACATTCTGAGTTGCTCTAATAAAAACACATGTACAATTTATATCCTGCTTTGTCCACTTAGCATTCTAAAATACAGCTGCTTTACACGTTTGGAAAGTGAATACAAAATTGTATTTGCACAATTGTCTCAATGAATAAGTTCAGAAGCAAAACCTCAGGCATTTATCTTCCAGTGGCAAGTTTCACACCCGTGGTTTTTAGTTTCAGTAGGAGCCAAATGAAAATGATGTCAGTGTCTACCCAGGGTTCCTCAAAGGAGATTTCCACTATTCGACAATTGATCCCCATGAAACTTAAATATTAAACCTTTTCACTCTTGTAACCACCTCATTTCTTACCACTGACTTCTTCCCATGAACTCCAGTTGCTCCAGAAACTCAACTCAGGGAACTTGGCATCGTCCACCCGACTCCTGATTCTTACAAAGTGTGTTGCACATTCCAAAGGGAGCTCGGATTCCCAGCTCCAATGCAGAACTTGATTCCACCTCACAGTAGTGCTATAATTCCTCTAAAAGTAAAGGAAAAATTTTGGAAACATACAGCCATCCTGTCCTGGAAAATAGCTTGACTTAACTTGACCCAAAGCAAAAACCTAAAAGCCATTGTGAGTCCATAATATGCACAAGTGAAGTCCAATCCTAACCGGTCAAGTTCCCTTGTTCCAATGTCTCAACCATGAGCCTGCTATGACTTCCTGCCTTTGAAAACTCAGCTCCACATCCCTATGGCACTCTGATTCCAGGGGCTTGTGTGAAGCAAGTGGGAGAGAAAATAGAAGCTATCAAGTCTTGGGGAAACAGATCAGAGACAGTAGGTTTTCACAGTGCTGGGCACAGAAAACTTCCTAAGAAAACTCTTGAAAACTAGTGAATTAATTAATTGACTCATCCTTTAAAAAAAGATTGATGGGTACTTTTTATATTCATTTTTAACCAGAGTTGAATCAGGTTGGCCAAATCTCAGTAGAGAGGGCAGTCCTTCATGATACCCTGGGAGTTCCATTGTCTTCCAGAAGCCAACAGATGGCTCTTTATGTCTCCCTTGGTTTTCTGTTTTTTCTTTTTAGATATGGTGGCCACATGGAACATATCCCCTCCTTTGAGATCCATCTGTCAGAATCTTTGGCCCTAGAGATGTCCGTCAATCACCAAGAATGTCTTATATTGTTCTCTGGGAAGCTGGGGTCCAAGTTGAAGTGTAATTAGGTCTTTCAGCACAGCCTTTAGTCTTAATCTTTCTAAAACACTGGTATTTCCACTCTCTAACTCAGTACTCTTCATTGACTCCTTTACACTGTACCCTGTCATTCAAGGCCCACTACAATATGGCTCCAACCTACCAGTCTGTTGCAGAAATCTCTCCAGACATAGGTTCTACCCCGCACTTCTGGAATATGCTTTGTGCTTTTATACTTCAGTGTTGGCTCATGGCTTAGTGTCCCCCACCCCCTTTATACTGGGAAACTGTCCTATCCCTCAAGCCCAGGTCACAGCCTGTCTCCCTCATGAAAGGCCTTCTTGCTCCTTCCACCCCACCTCCCTGAAGCTCTGTATACTGAGGTTAGTTGGTGGTATTTCATTGTGACTCGGGTATTGCCAGAGAGCAGGAACTGTGCTTGCTTCTTCTCTGTGTCTCCCATAGCTCCTGGCACCCATTCTCCTCAGTCTGCCTCCTCTAGGACCCCTGCTTCCTGCCCCCACCACTGGGAGGTGGAGACAACAAACAATCTGCACTTCCTGGGGGAAACTGAGTCTGGGTCTGCATCCACGCTTCTTAGGGCAAATGATGAGCCCTCAGTGAAGGGAGCAGATAACTTCATTTCACATGCCACTGGGAAGTTAGCACTTGGAGACCTTCCCCCATTTACCCTTTCCAGGTCACTAACCTTAAACAGTGCCACGGCAGAACTAAACGCAGCTCTGAGGGGTTTTTATTCACACACCTCCTTTTTCACTCCCAAGAACTGCCGAACCGCAACCCCATGGCACTCCCCAGAGGCCTGCACATCCATCCCACGTTTACGCTGCCCTCGTTTCTGTGTTTACCTCCTCATTCTTGCCAGTGTGCTCAGCACTGACATCCCCAGGCCTTGCACAATGCCTGACCGGGCCCACAGCCTGCAACTGTGTGCTGGATGATGTCATCACTTCACTGATCCGTAGTGACTGGATTTCTCCCAGACACTTTTCGTGTAGATTCTGTCTAACCTCAGCTTTGTCCTTTGTGGTCTTTACAGCTTTGCCAATGAAGGAGATAAAACTTTTCTTGAATACATCCATTCAGTGATTTTTTTTAAGAAATGGGATGAATTGTCTTTGGGCCATCTCATTCATTGAAGCAGCAAGTTTAATTTGGCCCCCGCAGACATTAGTAAGTTACAAGAAATTGGCACATACATTTACACAGAAGTCTCACTGGGGTCACCAATTCATTACTGAGGCATGAGCTCTAATTCTAAACTGACTCACGCTTCAGGCCTCCTTCCAAGTTTGGGCTGTTACTGTGCTCTGCCTTCCTCTGCCATTGACAAAATCATAAAGCAAATGGCTGGAGGGGAAAGGCAGAACCCTGGCCCAGGGCAGGACCGTGTAGTGTGCTGCCAGCAGGGCTCTGCGTGGCCCATGCCATCCAGGAGGTGGCTCGGTGCCCCTGGCCCCACTGCCAGCACCTGGATCAAGATGCTTTTCCTTCAACTTGTTTGGGAACACAGTGATCCGAGACACTGAGTCTAGAAGCTGCCCCGTCTCAGCATGAGTGAAGGCGGGGGGCTGTCAGGCTCACATTACACGGAACTGCCCTATGAAAGGGAGATTTTGGTCCAGACAGAAGCAGCTTCTCTCATCTGGCTTTCTCTTCTTTAAGTGGAGGAAGATCTTATGTCCCTCCTCGACTGCAGGCATGAGAGATTCAGACAAGGGTTTCTCCTGGCATTAGCTATTCTATGGAACACATGAGCACTGATGTCCTGGGGAAGTCACATGTGACCATTATCCTTGCCTGTCTCTGTCACCTTGAGCAGTACAGCAAACTTCTCTGTGCCATGGTTTTCTTTTCTGTTGGAGTCAGGTTGGGCTGGGTGTTATTAGGACAATACAGTAGACAAGGCAGACTCTACTCTTAAGGATTTCACACCCTAGTAAGTTACAGAAGAAGCAGGTTACACAGCTGCTCCACCTCTACCTTGTGGAGAGGGCAATTACATGAATCCAGTGCAAAAACAGACAGGAACAACTGCATTTTAGAAATGCAAAGAATGGGATCCATTTGGTCTATGGTTAACATTATTTTCTCTAATATGATAACGGATATGAACTGTCTTCTAGAAAAATACAGAACAAGATACACTTGGTCTGTGGTTAACATTACTTTCTCTAGTATAATAACAGATATGAACAGTCTTTTACAAAAATAAGGAATGGGATCCACTTGGACTATGGTTGATATTATTTTTGCTAATGGCGTTAAGTGCTAGTTTTCCACAATTCTTTCAGCAGTTCCCCCAAATTTCTTTTTCTGGGACAATTCTTAGCCTTAATATGACCTTGGCTCAGTGTTTTATTGGGCCCAAATCACCAACCAGTGTATCCATCAAATCTATAAAAACCTGACTTCTTAGTATGAGGAGGGATAACGGAAGACGTGCTGATGGTGGGGAGTGAACAGGACACATAAGCATGACTAATTTAAAATAAGCAGTGCTCACTGTGGGAATCTGCCCTTTGAAGAGTAGAATTATAGTCCTGATACTAATCCTAAATGGACAGCGTCAGAATTTTGTATAACCCAGGCTGCTTGCTCAGATCTCAAATGTAATAATGGATATGAAAAGCAACTGAAAAGGCTTTAGAATTAGTGACCTTTAGGCTTTATTAAAGGAACTAACCATTCAGGATCCCTGTACCCAATACCTCCACTGCCTAAGAGAAGAGTAGACCTCGACTGAGCTAATGGAATCCCCCAATACAGTCCTGTGCTTTCCTTACCTGCAGGCAAATTCTCAGGTCCCTTCTATGAGAAAACATTCCACTGTCCTTAAGTATCCTGTGATAATG